GTCTGCTAGTGTTGAAGGTGTTTTAGAGAGCAACAGGCACGCACGGCCACTTCCTTCATAGCACCCTCAATAAAAACACTAGCTCCTTCATAGCATCTGCAGAAAAACATTTCTGGAGCCGCCACCGATTTAGACGTCTTCTTGAATGTGTGCGGCTACAACGAGGCCAGATCTCTCTGAACAGTAGATGTAGAGATGTGAGATGGAGCATTTTCTTCTCTTTTTAAATGTTTTATGCAGTTGATAACAACCTCCACTGCATCTCTACCTCTTCAATGTTTGACCAGCGAGTTGCTCCTTCTGCTGTTGACTTTACTTTATTTATTCAAGAGGGACATTGTACGTGGGTGAACATTTTAGATGAACAGTATATTTTATGTCAGTTTAATGAATTGCAGCCAGAAGCTATTTTGCATTGTTAGTCCGTGGTGCCAGATGGTTCAGGCTACATATCCTATCCTACAAACACATTAAACTGTAAACACACACACACACACACACACACACACACACACACACACACACACACACACACACACACACACACACACACACACACACACACACACACACACACACACACACAAGAAATAAGAGGATATTTAAAGGAAGTTTGATGTAGCTTCTTGGTGCTGACGATGATGGTGTCTGGTGGAAACAAGCTGAAGCAGGGCAGTTTTAACACACTTGTTAGACAATGAAAGGCCTCCAGAAGGAGGGAAAAAAACACCCTCGTATAAATGTCTTCCTTCAACGGCAGACAAATAGGCAGCTGCAGAAAAGGGTCAGTAAAACGGGTCAACCTGGAGGAAAAAGGAAGTTCTGACTCAGTTTGTTGAATACCACCGAGACTTTTTAGAGCCACATAACCTCAGAATGCACAAGCACACATTAGTGTGACGACTGGAGATGAGGAAGTATAATCTAACATGCAAGATGATGAGTAGGCAGGAAAGTTTGTAAAAGTAAAATATTTTGTCATAAATGAAGAAGAAAATGTGCGTTCAGCTTTTTGGTGGTATTTGTGTCGTCAATCAGCACAAAGGTGTTTTCTTCATTAATATTTCACAGCTCACTCATCACGAAGCTTAGTGCCCTGACAGACAACACAAATCTCTTCCTCCGGTTGTGAGGAAAGAGGGATAACAGCAAAAAAGGACCTCCGACTCCCGTATCAGCACCAACTCCCAAAGAGCGCTGAAATAAGCATGGAGATAACTGATGCTGAGGGGAAAATGAGCGGAAATGACTCAAGATCGAGTAATATCGTGAGACAGACCCGCATAGACGCTCACGCTGTAATTCATAACAGGCTGAGACAATCATAGCAGAACACGCTGTTATTAAGGGTCACGAGAAAATGCATTCAGAGTCCTTAATCAAGAAGTCAGGGGACGTAGTCAAAGCAGGCAGCAGCATCTCTCCAGTCTAATGAGAGGACGTTTGCAAAAAGGGGATTTCATTGTTATTATTACTATTATTTTATTCTAAAATCATTTCTGTGCAATCAAACCCTGCAGGAAGCACACTGAACCCAATAACGGTGATTTTTCACTGGTATTTCACACGGAGACGTGGTGAACGCCAGGCATGAAAGAAATCCTAATTTGGCTTGAAGGACTAGAGAGGATTTTTGTGAGACTGCGAGTTTAAGGTAGTCTGTCAGAATGTGGGTGAGACATACACACACACACACACACACACACACACACACACACACACACACACACACACACACACACACACACACACACACACACACTCACACACACACACACACACTCACACAGCTGATGCATCGCCACAGAGCTTCCAGGTGTATTCACATTGCACACACATCTTACCACACCTCTTGCCCTGGAGGAGTTTAATCAGGTTAAACGTGTGTGTGTGTGTGTGTGTGTGTGTGTGTGTGTGTGTGTGACAGTGATGCACTAATACATGAATGACAGTGTGAAGCCAATAATGGTGTGAAGTCTCATGCAGAATATCTAGAGATTAAAACCTGTTGCCAGAGTAAAGGCTGCTGCAGCTCACCTCCACACGCTGAAGTCATTCACCAGAGCAGGTTTCGCAATCAAACAGTGGATGGGATGTCCTGCAGGGATCCTTTAACATTCAGATGTGCAGGTGCTTTGAACATGTGTAGGCCTGCATTTGCATTTTTAAAATGTATTTTTCTTTGCTTATGGAAAAACAAACCCACTGTTTTTTAAACATAACTGAAATCCTTGAGTGGGCAGAAATGCTGAATAGCTTTAAAAAAAAGAAATGAATGAAAATATTTGTTATTCTATGATTTCTTGTAATTTGTCCTAAAATGAAACATTTTAACATGTACAAAAATTTAAAGCTCATTTAAAGCTCCTTAATGGAATTTCAGCTATTTTTAAAGGCTGAATTATTTTAATAAACATCACTTAAATAATTTTGTTGTAGTTTCAAAATCTTATTTTTTCCTGCAAATTCTGTTTGACTTTCAAAATAAAATAAAAAAAACCCTAAGAAGGTTTGCCCTATGTGTTATATAATTTAAACAAATACTTATTAGAAATATATTTATTAGACCTATAAATGCTAATGAAGATCCCAACAGAAAATTGGCTTCAATTAAAAAAATTAAACAATAAACGTGGATTTATATGATCTAATTTGTATGGACATTTTTCAATTGAAAAGCAGCAGCTTGTTGCCTCCCTTGTATAGTTCAAAGCATTTCAATAAATGAGCAACAGGCAAAAGGTAAGAACAAGAAGTAAAGGGAAGAAGGAGGTCACACAAAGAGCAGGATTCAAAAGCAAACTCCCTCGGGGAGAAGCAGGCTGGTCATGAAGGAAATGCATGAAAGGACGGAGCAGCAATGTGGCTGAGCGTGGCTCCAAGGGCAGGTCCGACTGTGGCTGAGCTGTGAATGAGAAAATGTACGTGCGACTTAGAGCAAACCAAAAAATGATGTTATCACAGCAAAAGACGTGTCCCTTTATAAGCTCCTCTGGTGACAAAGAGGTATCTTCCTGGTGCCCCAGCAAGATAAGCCTCAGGAAATTGAATAAATATAAAAACAAATACAATTTTTTTTTAATTCAATGAAAATATGTTTCTGTCTTCGATGAAATAGCTACTAAAAAGAATGAAAATGTTTTCTGTGTTGGTGGAAAGAGATTAACAGAAGTAGATTAGAGGCATCTACTGATAAGACTCCAGGAAATAGCCAGTGCCATCACAGCTGGTGCAGATATAAAGCACACAGCGAACGGTTTAGAAATCCAAATGCATTAAAGCGACAACGTGTAGTTTTTAACCATTAATCTCCAGAAATATCCACTGAAATGTTGTTGAAAAAGAATTAAATGCTGTCGAGTTGTTGAAAAATGTTGGTGGCTTCGTAACATAACCATAACAATCTGGTCAAAAACACTCCATCCAAAACTGGCCTTAATAAAACAGACATGAAGGGTCACTTATGAAGTTGCTATTTTTGGTTATTTATTTAGGACAGTGTATGTTAATGAACATACATGTGGGAAAAAATTACGTCATGTAAACACACCAGATTATAGCCTGAGGCTAGTTTGCATGTGTTGTCCTCAAGGATGGGTCACATGAGGGCCAATACACATTAAACAAAACGTATAACAATATAGATCCACATCCCATTAAAATATTAAAAGTACACAACAAAGCAGAAAATCACAGCCAATAAAAAAAAGAATACATAATAAAAATTATTAGTAAAAGTCAAGGGTTTAAAATGCCTGGTAGTAAACGTGGGCATCATAAAAAGGCCCAGCAGAGGACTTTCTGTGGCAGCTAAAGAAATTCAACCAACCAGTCCAGTCGATGAGGCAGCTCTAGTCCACCCTCACCTCCTCCATCACTCTGTGGTACGTTGGAGCTACCACCAGGGACAAGAAGAAGCTGCAGCGCGTCGTGTGCTCTGCTGAGAAGATCATCTGCTGCAAACTCCCCTCCTTACAGGACCTGTACATCTCACATTGATGCGTGCAGGTCCGATAACCGCCGAGTCGTCTTGACTCGCTCAGATCTATTCGGACCAGAACCTCTCGCCACAACAAGTTTCCTCCTCTCTGCAGTCGGACTCATGAACGACTATCCTAGGGCTGCCCACTCCAGTCACCTGGCCTGGTGTTGTGTTGCTACCTGAACTGTTCGCTCTGATTAGTACGTATACTGTAGCCGTTTCTCTAAGTATCGCCACTTTATATTATTATTTTATCATTATTTTCTTACTTCCTATATTTGCTCATCTCTTATTTTTATCTTTCTGTTTTGCACCGAGTAGCGCAGCAGTGTCCTGATGTTGTGATTTCTCACACATACGGCAATAAAACCACCTGATTGTGTTTGTGCGTGAACGGCCACATGACGTCAGCTGTGGTCCCTTGAGAATAGATAAATGTCTCAAGATGTGACATTTTTTCCTTCCATCTTCCTTCCTGCTCAAGTGACGGAGCTGAGGGGCACTGAAGAAGAATCTGTCAGTTCGCCTGAAGCCCCTGCACAACCCCCACCTCCGTCCCTCTGCAGAGTTCCAGAAGATCCCACTCTGTCACAAACGCTGACAACGCCCGGCGACGGCAGCCATTCGCCGTCTCACGCCGAAGGTGACACCGTCTGAGAGGAGCCCCGTATGCATACCGCTTTCCAGTAGCAAGCCACCAAAAGCTACAAGCAGGAACTCACATTCTGCACAACAGATGTCAGGAGAGAGGAGGCACACCCAGTTCACCCACGCATCTGTAAGTAAACCAGCACACACACAAAGACCTTGTCACTCAGGCAAACAGGGTCTGTGATCTGACACGAGATGGAGGGTGCGTATGCAACACTTGATTCATTTCAGAGGTGTAATTGGATGCCTGTTTGGGTCGGGTGAAAAAGGCTCCTGGCACCAGAAATATCAAGCTGACATCCATCAAAGTCTGCCAAAATGACACGAAGATCTTTACGGGAAAGCAAAAAAACCCAGACACATGAAGTCGGACGTGATGTTTGTTTATTTGACATGAAAATAAAATCAGAATACACACATGTTAGATTTTCAGTAAACATGTAAATGTAGTGATGAAACTATGCAAAAGTTTTGTTTTAAATACTGTTGATTATCCCTGGAAAACCCAAATAGACAGAAAAATACATATTTTCTTCACATTAAAACTCCACATTAATTGCTTTCTGAGGGACAGCAACGCTAACTCCAAAGAAATGCTAATTCATGTTTTTGAGTAAAAAAAAGTGTTTTTCAAACTTACGTTTTACCAAAATAGGATCTCTAATGACCACTCGGTCCAAAAGTCCAGTTTCCAGAGCAGAACATGAACTCCCCATCTGAGACTTCTGCTAAATATCACGTAAACACATATTATATAAAATAAGTGGATTTCTGAGTTAAACAAAAGTTCACGAGGGATCATGAACTCTGGATTACTCTGCTTTAATATAATGATGTCAGAAAAACGATCCGCGTTTGCTCCTGAAACGTTCAAATTCTATTAAAAAAAGTTATAAATCTTAATAAAACTATCATATCATCTATGTTGTAGTATACAGAGTCACATACTGAATACCAAAGGCTCAGTTCACTGTAAGGTTAGTGGTTTATTTCCTGATAAAAACAGTTCATGACTGACGAAGCGGTTTCCCTCTAATTCACATTTATTATCCTAAACTCCAAAAATACATTCTCACTAGACTCACGGTGAAACTAGAGCAAAACCGTTCCCCTTTTCAAACAGTCAGACTTCTATACTTGTCTATAATGAAGTCTGCACGCGTTCTGTAAACACAAACTCGTTACATCACATCTGATCCTGCAGACTAAGTTAGTGGTTCTGTTTGTGGAGTTCTTTTGGTTATTTGTACATGAGGTCTTTGTAGTTTGGTCAGGACTGACCAGGAATGCAGAATGAAGACGTAGTTTAAAGCTCTTCAAAGAAGGCCACCTTGGTCTTGGTGCTCTGTAGCGTCAGCTGTTGATGAGATAAAGACAAAACCTCAGAAAGGTTCAGACAAAAACAGATCTTATTATAAAATTCACAGATGCAAAGTGGACGCATGACGGGTCCTCCTGTGTGTGGTATCCGGCCACACGGCAAGAACCACAAACTCACACATGAGCGTTCCAGGTCGGCCAGGAAATCTTACAAAACCTCTCAAAACCAGACGTGACTTCAAGGTAAACAGACAAGGTGGCAGAGGAGTGGGAAACGTGCGTTTTTCACCTCACTTTCTAATCGGCTCTGTATCAATTCAACTTTCAGGATGCTTGTTTGTCCTTGAAATTGGACCTAGACAACCCGACACATCTGATAACCCAGATGTACGATTAGCATGGTCCAGCCTTTTAAGCATAGTTTATACGTCTCATATGTGGAGGTGTGGAGATACGCAGCTAGGGTTGGGCATCGGGAATCGAGCATCGATTGGAACCGGATCCAAATGTTCATTTTTCCCGGAATCGCTCGACGTTTTATTATTTCGATTCCTAGAATGCCGACGGAAGAGGAATCCGCGGCCGATCTCCATGAAAAATAAACGTGATCAGAGCTGATCACACCAGTTGTCTGTGTGCAGCACCGTCCCCCCTCCCCCACCCAGATATAAACAAACGCGTCTGCCGAACTTTTACTCCGTGATGTAAACGTTAACTCCTGCAGCGTAGAGGAAACGTGTTAAATACGTCAACACGGTGGATTTAATAGCAGTTTAAAGAACAAACTCTGGACGGTGTGAGGTGAGTTTGTCTCACTGCAGAAAAAAAACACACACGGAGCGTCAGCAGTCAGACGCAGCCGCTCACCAACACTCGTGTGTGTGTGTGTGTGTGTGCACTTCCTGTACAACTCTGCCGTTGACATTCCTTGCAGATTAGAAAAACACCCAGCTACTCTGCATCCGGACGTCCTTCCAGACACTTGACAAGGGAAAGACCTGCGCACGTGCATGCAGCATGATCACGTCACCTTGACTGACCAATCATAAACCTTTCTCGGTTGATCACCCACTCACAAAACAACTTACAGCTTTTACAAGGAAAACTCATTTCAGATGAAAGCCACATCCGTATTGGACGTTTTAAATACATTTTTTATGTCAGACTTTGAGGAGAAAACAAAAACCACCACATGATTTTTTTCAGCAGCATGCCAATGAGGAGTGACATCACTGACAAGCAAATTAGTGTGTGCCGTCTTCTGGTGACATCTAGCAACTTTCTGGGTCATCTCTCGCTAGAGACAGTCGGCAACACTGGATGCAACCTTAAGATTGCCTGAAGGGGAGAATCGGGTCAACAATCTTGCCGTGTGGACCGGGACTTAGGAAAGCAGACTGCCAGAACTTGTGTTTCTTCTACATCTCCAGCTGTCTGCATGCCTTTGGATTCTGTAATTACAATCATCAAAGCGTGCTGAGCAGCATCCATTCATGCTGAATCATGGAGTTGGCTGTAGTTTCGAGGTTTGGGAGAGTTCCACCATTGAGATGTCTCAAACTGTGATGACTAAAGGACCAAAAGCTTTGATTCAGTTCAGGCTCAGGAGACGCTGCTTTCATCAAGTGTCTCTCCAAATGAATAAACAATTAAGGCTCCTGACTCCAGTAAAAGTACTAAACATTCAAAATGACTTCATCTCTAAAGTCATTCATTAACAATCTAATTATTGAAAAAATATTTGTGCTGAACTGTTTTTGAATTCTGTATAAAGAAGGTAAATATCTGAGAACACATGCTGTATTTTATATAGCGCCTTCCATGATTCTACAGCCCCCCAAGGCGTTTTACAACACTCATCCACACACACACACACACACACACACACACACACACACACACACACACACACACACACACACACACACTGGTGGTGATAAACTACAATGTAGCCACAGCTCTACAGGGTGCACTGACAGACGAGAGGCTGCCGAGCACCACCGATCCCTCCGACCACCACCAGAGGCAAAGCAGGTTAGGTGCCTTGCACAAGGACACAACTGCAACAGACGGGACTCAAACCTGCAACCCTCCAGTTACAAGGCGGGTACTCAACTCCTCTGCCAGTGACAGAGGGGAAGAGTTTAGAAAATGAAGGTTATTTTAGTGAAGTATGGATACAGGATAGGAGTAAAGGTAAGGAGAGAGGAGCGATTTGCTGGGTAATATTTACTGGTTGGCTTGTTTTCTCGCTGCTGACGGGTAAGCTGAACGTCTCTAGTGAACAGAAAACCCTGACTGTGCGTTTATCTACGCTTAATTCTTCTGTGCTGCAGCTCCTAAAGGGATGCTTCTTTTAGTTTGGCTATTGAAGCTTAGACAGGAAGAATACGACAAGCTTATTGTCATAAAAGTGATCAGTCAGTCGGTGAGAATGAGTCTCCCTAGATGACCGTCCCTTTAGATGCTCTGGTGTTGGCATTTAGTAGTGGAACAGAAGCTCTGCTGGAAGGAGACGATGCTAGCAGAGCAGAAACCGGTCTGGAAAAGGTGCACTGAGCTGCACTAAGAGGGCGGGCATTAATCTTTGACAGAGAGGGAGTGTAGATGCAAAGGAAAATAAAAACATTGCCCAAGGTTTCTAATACTTCTGCCAACGTTTCCTCATAACCCTCTCACCGTCCAACAACCTACCAGTCATCAAATTCAAAGCTTTCTCTGCACTTTTCTATAATCTAGGGTTTCCCAAACTCATTACTATCTGAGCATGTGGGTTCAGCTTCAGCCTTCCCTGAACTTCACCATCTACCCTCTCCCTTCGTGGGATCACAGCAACTCTGAGTCTTTTTGTGATGAAGGTGTTGTAGCTGCTGTCTGGCACTTTAAATGAAATACACACATTTTCCTAAACAATAACTAGCATGTGGCTATCAAACAGTGTTTGCAGTTGTTATAATTGGAGAAAACAGATCCACCAAATGAATGAATGCTCTAAATGTTTTCCACAAATTCCAACTACGGGTGTGCGCTGACACAGGTTACCCCAGGACTCATTGCAGGTCGAACAGGAGATTTTTGTTCTTGTAACAATGACCGACGAAACGGGAAAGGAATACAGTTTTAAAAGTAAGTATATTAATATACGGCAGTACAAAAATGAAAAGCTTACAGCTGTTGTGTTGTTAGGCTTTATTGTTTGTTTTTTAACCCTCCCACTGTCCTAACGGCGTGAGGTGGTGCCCACTCCTCACTCCTGCTACGTGGACCTGCTCATTGGTTGACTTTCCTGGCGGGGTCACCCCCGTTAGGACAGTGGGAGGGTTAAATGTATTTTTTGTCAAAAATAAGAAAACTCCTCGTAAACAAGCTCGCATGGCGGGCCCCGTAGTTTTTCATGTGTTGCTGCTAAGTTTAGTTTTAACCGCTGTCATGGTCGCTAAGCAACAGAAAATACGTTGAGGTAGAGGCAGGAATAAATATAAACGTCAAAGCCGCTCTCTGCAGGTCACGGCCTGAGTGGACTGGGTAGGACGCTGACCGCGATATTAGACACAGCCATCTTAGCTTCCTTTTACTTCACAGACATGGACACAACCTGCTGAGTGAATTTACATAAACTCAATAGGAAGCTACTGATAAGAGTCAGTTTCGTGAACAGTTGTCCCATTCTGCAGTAGAATATTTTACCACGACTCATTTAAACTAAGAATTAAAAGCCAAAGGGTCATCCTAAATCTAGAAATGGTTCAACTCAAGGAAATAAGACCGGGCCTCAGTTTCCTGACTTCCCTCCCGTCTTCCTGTAACACCACGTGCCACGGTCCCCCAGTTCCCTCCAACAAGATGAATGCAGACCACCTCTGGTTCAATTAAACCAACACTTTTAACTCTGCTCCTTCTTCTCTTTCATGTCACAGTAGCCTCCATCAATCCAGATGACTAATGATGAAGCAGAAATCAATTAGAGCTGCCTTAACGAGTACATTTTACACTCAGTGGCAATATGGACTATACAGTTTCCTACTAAATGTGCGGGTTACATGGATCAAATATTTAATAGGATTTTCTCTCTAGTAGAATTAGAAACACACGAGAGTGGGAAGACAAAGGAGATCATCAGAAGAAAGGGCAAACAAACATAACGCCTTTAACCAATCCATTTTAAAATCCGTCAAGCTTTAAGAGTTGGGTTTGGAACAAATTAAGATCATTTCTCACTAAAACTGAGTGATATGAAACATAAAAACAGTCTGACCAATCAGTTACTGTGTTTTCATTGTGAGACACCCAAGGCAGATGACCACTGAGGGCTTTCAGAGGTCACAGTAGAAGATGAATAATTGCTCCATCCAACCCAAAAGGCTCCATCGAACCTGAAGGGTGAAAAATGAACGATGGGCAAGTGGAGACATATGCTGCTGAAAAATGGTTGAGAATCAAACAACCGCTTTGGTGTTACAGGCGAGGAACGGTGAATGATACACGGGGGTGGGGGTGGGGGGGGGGGGGTACTAAATGTTGGTAGTCATCTTTACTCTTGAATTAGAGCTTCACAGTGCTCTCAGTGTATGTGTGCGTGAGTCTACCCTAAAATGAAGGGTTCCTGACATGCAACAATAAACCAGTTTCAGTCGTACTTCATCAGTTTGCAGAAGCAGACCATGATGGGTTTGGTTTCATCGTATGATCGTGGTGGGTAACAGCAAAGTGTACAAATCGGGGCGTGGTAGATGTTTGGAGCTAGCAATAGAAGTTATGATGAAAACTTTGTAGCAAAGTGGAACGTGATGAAGGCGCTATTCCACCGACGGTTATTTACCCTCTCCTCAGATGCCTCTGACACAGAACTAGTCTGCAGGAGATAACCCTAACCCAACGTCTCCTGCATCTGCTTCTAAACAGTTTCCTTTCCAGTCCAAGAGAAGAATGAAGACAAAGGACTCTCTCCTTTTAATAAATCAAAGAACTCTATTTTTAATGAGCTAATCAAACAAAGTGTTAATCAATAATAAAATGTGAAGCAATCTGTGAAATGAA